TTTTTTTTTTTTTTTTTTTTTTTGAGATGGAGTCTTGCTCTGTAGCCCAGGCTCAGAGCAACCTCCGCCTCCTGGTCCTGGTTCAAGCAGTTCTCCTACCTCAGCCTCCCAAGTAGCTGGGATTATAGGCACGAGCCACCATGCCCAGCTAATTTTTGTATTTTTTAGTAGAGATGGGATTTCACCATGTTGGCCCGTCTGGTCTTGAACTCTGGACCTTGTGATCCGCCCACCTCGGCCTCCCAAAGTACTGGGATTACAGGCTTAAGCCACCATGCCCGGCCTGTTTTTCAGTTTTGTTTTGTTTTGTTTTTGTTTTTTGAGATGGCGTCTTGCTCTGTCGCCAGGCTGCAGTGTAGCGGCACGATCTCGACTCACTGCAATCTCCACCTCCCGGGTTCAAGTGATTCTCCTGCCTCAGCCTCCCACGTAGCTGGAACTACAGGTGCATGCCGCCATGCCAGGCTAATTTCTGTATTTTTAGTAGAGATGGGTTTTCACCATGTTGTCCAGGATGGTCTCGAACTCCTCAGTTGGGTGATCCGCCTGCCTCGGCCTCCCAAAGTGCTGGGATTACAGGTGTGAGCCACCACGCCCAGCCATCAGTTTTTAAAATACACTAATTTTTTTTTTTTTTTTTTTTTTTTGAGACGGAGTTTCGCTCTTGTTACCCAGGCTGGAGTGCAATGGAGTGATCTTGGCTCACTGCAACCTCCGCCTCCTGGGTTCAAGCAGTTCTACCTCACCCTTCCGAGTACCTGGGACTACAGGCTTGTGACACCATGCCCAGCTAATTTTTGTATGTTTAGTAGAGACGGGGTTTCACTGTATTGACCAGGATGGTCTCGATCTCTTGACCTCGTGATGCACTCGCCTCAGCCTCCCAAAGTGCTGGGATTATAGGCGTGAGCCACCATGATTGGTCATATACACTAATTTTATAAAAAGCTCTGCTTTGGATGAAAACAACTTTGAGAAGATGATGAGACAGTTTCAGAATATTAACGTTTAAAAATTTGGATCTCTTTTGGGAGGATTTTTTTTCCCCAACTGTTAAGAGTAAGGAAGTCTGGCGAGGATCCAGCCAGGTTTGGAGTTTGGTGGATGGATGCGAGGTCTCACTTGTGAGGCGAATGTGGGAAGTGCCATCAGCAGGGACCTGCTGGCTGGAGGCGGTGGCTCACACCCAGCTCTTTGTAAGGCCAAGGTAGAAGGATCATTTGAGCCCAGGAGTTCAGGACCAGTCTGGACAACATAGTGAAACCCCATTTCCACAGAATTTTTTAAAAAAAATTAGTGGCATGGTGTTCTGTGTCTGTGGTCCCAGCTACTCATAAGGCTGAGGCAGGAGCATCACTTGAGTGCAGGAGGTCGAGGGTGCAGTGAGCTGTGATTGCATCACCGTACTCCAGTGTGAATGACAGAGCGAGACCCTGTCTCAGAAAAAGAAAGCGGCAGCCCACCCCCTCCAGTTTGCTCCTGAGGTTCTGAGAAGCACCAGCATCTTATGCTGACGACAGTGTAAGGCTCCTTGCCAAAACCACACCCTGATACTGTGGTATTTGTCCTGTGGATTTGTCTTTCAGCAACAGCCTGACTTAGAGGCATCCGTGCTAGCTTCCTCTAGACACCCTTGATGGGACCAGTCACCATACTGTTCCTTGTATGAGGAATTCCTTGCCTTCCTAATTCTTGTTCTTTTTGTTTATTTGTCTTTTCAGGAAAACCAATTCCGTGTCCACGGAGGACTACAGCCCAGTTCTGCCCCAGGCGAAACCCGGCCTGGAGCTTCCAGGCAGGACAGCCATTCAGCACGCAAACCGCAGAGGACAAGGAGGAACCCCTGCACTCGATAATCAGCAGCACAGAAAGCGTGCAGGGTAGCCCGCACTGGCGCTTTGGTCTGGGAGGGCTTCTGGGTTCACTGCTGTGGGTAAGGGGGCATTTTCAAGGCGGAGACAGTGATTGGTAGAGCTACCGCCTCAGGTCTGAAATCTGAAGGTCTTGACTGTAGGGAGTGCTGTGCCCTCCATTTCTGTCCCAGCCAGGGACTTCTGCCAGTGTCAGGGTATGTCTTGCCCCCTCTGGTGGCCACCCATGAGTTCGCCGTGCAGCACCTCCCCTGAGTGGTGATTCATGGCACATCTGCTAATAATCATGGAAGTGGAGGGAAACTCAGTATTGGCTCAGCTTGTGCAGGACCGAGTTCTGCAGCTGTCTTTTCATTCCCTCTGCAGTATAAAAAAGCAGTCTTTGGAGCCAGTCCTGAAGTGGCTCCATTTCTGGCTTTTAAGTGGGTCTACAAGAGTAGAATCTTTGAAGTTAAAAAGAGAAGTGAGGTTTTCTTGTTATTTTGATTTCTAAATAATTAATTTGGAAACCACTTTTTTGAAGAATACAGGCTGGGTACAGTGGCTTACCCTTGTAAGGACGTCAAGGCAGGAGGATTGCTTGAGACCAAGAGGTCAAGATCAGAATGGGCAATATAGTGACACCCTTTCTCTACAAAAAGTAAAAAAGTTAGCTGGGCACGGTGGCTCACGCCTGTAATCCCAGCACTTTGGGAAGCTAAGGTGAGCTGATTACCTGAGGTCAGGAGTTAAAGACCAGCCTGGCCAACATGGTGAAACCCCATCTCTACTAAAAATATAAAAATTAGCCGGGTTTGGTTGTGCATGCCTATATCCCCAGCTACTGGGGAGGCTAAGGCAGGAGAATCACTTGAACCTGGGAGGTGGAGGTTTCAGTGAGGCGAGATTGTGCCACTGCACTCCAGCCTGGATGACAGAGCGAGACTCCATCTCAAAAAAAAAAAAAAAAAGTTAGCCAGGCATGGTAGTGAACACCAGTGGTTCTAGCTACTTGAGAGGCTGAGGCAGGAGAATCACTAGAGCCTGGGAGGTTGAGGCTGCTGTGAGCATGATCGTGCGACTGCACGGCAGCCTGGGCAAACAGCCAGATTCTGCCTTTAAAAACAAAAGAAGAAAAGAAAGGAAAAGAGAAGAAAGAACATATAATCTAGTTTTTAGAGGCAGCCCAGTTCCTGTGACCATTCACGTCAGGAAACCAGGCTCAACAGTCCCTCAACATAGCCTGAGGTGTCTGTCCTCAGCAGTGGGAGGATTTGTCCCATCTGTGTTCTTTCAGCGCAGGCGGGAGCCACTTGATTTGTCCTGCCCTGGGATATCCTTCCGTGAGAGACTTTTTGATTTGTTTTGAGACAGGGTGTTGCTCTTTCACCTGGGCTGAGTGCAATGGCACAATCATGGCTCACTGTAGCCTCGACCTCCTGGGTTCAGGTGATCCTCCCACCTCAGCCTCCCGAGTCACTGGGACCACAAGTGTGTGCCACGATGCTCCGCTGATTTTTGTATTTTTGTGGAGATGGTGGGGTCTTGCTGTGTTGCCCAGGCTGGTCTTGAACTCCTGGCTCAAGTGATTCTCCTGCCTTGGCTTCCCAAAGTGCTGGGATTATGGACATGAGCCATTGCACACATCCAGACTTTGTTTCTGTCTACTTGTTTCTTTTTGTTCACACTCTTAAATGTTTAAAACTCATAAACTTAAACATTCTTTGGAATGTGATATAGTGTATTCTTGCACAAAAATAGAAATTAAACTTTATTTGTTGTGTCTCTGTTTCATTACTAGGTTCTACTTCCAAACATGAGTTCCAGGCCGAGACAAAGAAGCTTTTGGACATTGTTGCCCGGTCCTTGTACTCAGAAAAAGAGGTTCGTTCCCTGCTAACTATGCCTGATGCTAGCAAGGTTTCTTTTGACAAACCTGTTTTTATACCATTCTGGAGAAGTGCCAGATAATATATTAACTGTAAGAAAGCATTAAACTTTGGACAGGTTCCCGTCTTAAGCTACCAGTGAGAGGATTTTTACCAGAATCTGTTTTGGTTTCATGGATAAGTGTATCCAGATGGTTCTTTGGGCTGGATCAACTCTGGGAATTAATTGAATTTTGACAATAATTTAAAAGTTCCTCAAATATAGGCCTGGCACAGTGGCTCGTGCCTGTGAACCCTGTGCTTTGGGAGGTCCAGGTGGGAGGATCACTTGAACCCAGGAGCTTGAGACCAGCCTGGGCAACACAGTAAGACTCTGTCTCTACAAAGAATAAAAAAAATTACCCTGCTGTGGTCGCAGCTACCCAGGAGGCTGGGGTGGGAGGATCACTTGGGGCTGCAGTGAGCCATGATCATGTTACTACACTGACCTGTGTGACAGAGCGAGACCCTCTTGCCAAAAAAAAGAAAAGAAAAAAAAAAAAAGTCCCCCAAATCCTGGTGTGCAGCTCTGCTGAAATCTGTTTCTGTGGAGCTGTGGATGTGCTCTGAGGCCCCTTTGCCTCTTATGACCACCTGCAGGTCTGGGCGGCCTTTGGCTGCTGGAGGAAGAAGGCTCCCCAGTCATGTGTATATGGAGCTGGGAGGAGTTACTGAGGAAATTAAAACTCATTTGGGGCCTGGTGCAGTGGCTCATACCTGTAATCCCAGCACTTAGGGAAGCCAAAGCAGGATAATTTTTCATGAGTCCAGCCTGGGTAACATGATGAGACCTCCGTCTCTATTAAAAAAAAAACAAACCCACAAAACTCATTTGGGGTAACAGGAAAAGGAAAAAGAGAAAAACGAAGGCTACCATCATTGACATGCTGATTATTGCTGGAAGGCAAAAGAGAATCCTGAAGAAAGGTAAAGCACCAAATTTCAAAGTCCAGAGAGGCATCCAGGAGCTGTTCCCGGGTTTTGTACTGCTGAGTGCTGCATCCTGCCTCCCAGTGGCCTCTAGCTTCCGCTCAGATCAGCTGCTGCTTCCCCTTCACCTGTGTGCTCTTGCGGACTTAAGTTTTCTGTTTTTACTTGTTTTGTTTTTTATTTTTTTGGAACAGGGTCTGGCTCTGATGCCCAGGCTGGAGTGCAATGGTATAATCTTGGCTCACTACAACCTCTGCCCCTGGGCTCAAGCCATCCTTCCTCCTCAGCCTCCCAAGTAGCTGGGACCACAGGCGCATGCCACCATGCCTGGCCGATATTTGTATTTTTTTGTAGAGATAGGGTTTTGCCGTGTTGCCCAGGCTGGTCTTGAACTCCTGGCTCAAATGATCTGCCCACTTCAGCCTCCCAAGGTGCTGGGATCACAGGTGTGAACCTTCTCACCTGGCCTCTCTCACTGACTTTAAATGGAAGGTCTTTTTGATGTCAGGATGCTTTTCAGCTCCCAAAGGACAGCTGGTTCCTAGGCCCTGTTTTTCTCCAGTTGTGGTAGATCTGGTGTTTGGTGGTCCGCACTAGAGGAGATTAAGCCACGGAACCTGTTTTCGTGGAGTAGGAGTTTATTAGTCCGTTTTCACACACTGCTGATAAAGGCATACCTGAGAGGCCGGGGGCGGTGGCTCAAGCCTGTAATCCCAGCACTTTGGGAGGCCGAGGTGGGTGGATCACGAGGTCAAGAGATCAAGACCATCCTGGTCAACATGGTGAAACCCCGTGTCTACTAAAAATACAAAAAATTAGCTGGGCATGGTGGCGCGTGCCTGTAGTCCCAGCTGCTCAGGAGGCTGAGGCAGGAGAATTGCCTGAACCCAGGAGGTGGAGGTTGCGGTGAGCCGAGATCGCATTGCACTCCAGCCTGGGTAACGAGCGAAACTCCGTCTCAAAAAA